ATCATTCACGCAGGCTTTTCTTCAGATCTCGCCTTACACTCCCTACTGTCACTAGTCCCTAATAAAATTCCTTTTGAGACAATGCCTGTTTCAAGAGTTCTGCTTTCTTGGGTGATTAGTTGAAGTGGGTCCTGACAGAAGGTGAGATCTGCAGAGTACTCAACCCGGAGAAGTAAACTGCTCTACTGGGGGAGTTGCGACCGAATTTTGATTGTGGAGTTCCAGGCAGTGCAATGGGCCAAAGACCTCCTCAGCCTTGAAGCCAGAGAAAGCCTCTCCAGGGACCTGGAAGCGGTTGGACCATCTGGTGAAGAAGATCGAGCCAGATGGTCACTTGGAGTTGGAAAAAAGGAAGGCTGGGAGGAGAAAACCCCGAAAGTCACCTTAACCCGGGGGGGGGGGGAGGTAAGAAAAAAGCCAAGAAGAAGAATCCAGACCCTGCTCCCCCGGACAAAGATGCAGAGAAAGAAGAACCCAAACTGGGATCTATGGAAGCTATAATAGAGTATGTGAAGAAAACCCTCAATGACTTTAAAATGCAAATGAAAGGGGGCCACGAATCCGAAGAAGAGTCAGAGGAGGAGGAATCTGAAAAGGGAGAGTCGGAGACTCGAGAGGCAGCAGCTGCCAGAGCCCAAGGTGCAGCACAACCCTAAGGGCGCCTACTACAAGCCACCAGGGCCAGACCCTCCCCAGCCAGCAGAAGTGAAGCCGATCCCAATCAGGGCAAAGTTCAATGGAGACCCCAAAAGACTGGGGTATTTCCTGGCGCAGATGTTCACCTACATGCAAATCTATGGGAGAACCCTGCCCATGGATGTGGAGAAGGTACATGTGGTCACAAATGGAAAAGACTTTTTACATAAATCAGAAGAAATTTGAGGAAAAGGAAGAACAGATTGAATGGAAGATAAACCTATCAGGATAATTGTAGCAAATTGGAGTAATATGGAGGTGATCTAATGAATACAAATGGGCTAGTTCTTCCCAAAAAACTGTAATCGAATGGTCTTTTCTTATTTGAAATAATATATATAATAATAGAGGGAGAACTGTTTGATGATTCAAAAGTACTGGCATGGAAGGTCAGTTGGCAAAGGAAGAAAGCCAGAGTAAGGCTGAAGGAAACTAGGGTTTTGATTTATTAGAGGGGATTTCATATTACTGATTAGAGGGGTTGAATATGGTGGAAAATAGATAATTTTTAGAAAATAAAGTAACATTATAACCGAATAGGTAAGGTGTGTAACAAGACTAATAGATTTTTGGTTTAATATGGTGGAAAATATATAACTTTTAGAAAACAGAATAAGACTATATTCAAATAGATAAGATGTGTATTTAGAATATTAGATTTTGTTATGAAAAGGGAAAAATGGAGAAGTTGAGATAAGGGAAACTTTGATTACCTAAAGCTTAGAAATTATAAATACCAAATGTTAATTTGAATATTGATGGGAAATTAAAGCTTGGAAAAAAGTAATAACAGGACATTGATTGTATATAAGGATTGACTGCAAACACAATTAAGATATGTATACGCTAAAAATTATTGATAAATGTAACAAAGATGGTTTTACTTAGTTGATAACAATAAAAACTGTATTAGCCAATATGAGATAGTAGATATTAAGGGAAAAAGAGAGGAAATATCTGATGTTGTAACTTGAGATTTATACTAAAGATTTATGGATGTTATTGAACTATTGATTAATGTCAGTCACCACGTTGCTTTTTAAATACTTAATTGTAAAATTAGAAAACTAATAAAATATTATTAAAAAAAGATTTATGATTATAAATTACATCACAAATTAAACTACTCCCTTTTATAATCACAACACTGATGAAATTAAGATATTATAATATATTCCAGGAACATGACATAGAAATCAAAGATGCACTATAAATATGCACTCAATCTGCTTTACACAGCAGCTATAAACACTAAAAGTATCGGATATTATCCCTTGATTATTGTTGACAGTTTGACATGCTAATAATCTAAAAAGACTGTGCTAATGAGAAGTGGCTTGGTTTAATATCCCAGATATTTTTCTGGCCTGCTAAATAAAGTTGTTGCCCTAATGGAAGATGTGCTACATTAACAGGGATACAATTTACACTGAATATTATAATTTATAAACTCAAGTTCTTGTTTTGCATAGTATTGGGTTAATAATCTTGGAAATGAGAATAATCTGATCCATTTTTACTTGCAGATGACTAATTCTGATGTGTTAGCTCTGTACAACAAAACACAGCAAAAAGATTTGCCAGAAATAAGAGAACTAATCAACATGAAGATTTTGCATAAGAATTAGCTATGTGAAATATGTTACCAGTGGTGATCCTGGAACCCATAGAGTCTAGGTTTCATATGTGCTGACTTTGTGTCACTGAGCAGAATTACAGGTTGCAGGGGTGGAGAAAAAGGAGGCAAATTCTTACTAAGCAAGCTTCTGGTTGTGCCTTAGGCATGAAGCCAGCTCAGTGACCTTGGGCCACTCTTTTTCTCTTTTAACTTTAGGAAGCAGGCAGTGGTAAATTGCCTCTGAAAAAACTTGTTAAGACAACTGCTAAAAATTATTGATACTGTAAATGTAACAAAGATGTTTTTACTTAGTTGATAATAATAAGAACTATATTAGCCTAATATGAGATAGTAGATATTAAGGGAAAAAGAGAGGGAATATCTGATGTTGTAACTTGAGATTTGTACTAAAGATTTATGTATGTTATTGAATTATTGATCAACCCAGTCACCACGTTGCTTTTTAAATGTTTAATTGTAAAATTAGAAAACTAATAAAATATTATTAAAAAAAAGAATGGGGGAAGTTGCTCACTAGACATACAAGTAGGCATCAACTTACAACAGTTCATTTGTAGTTACAACAGCACTGAAAAAAGTGACATGATCATTTTTCACACTTACGACCCTTGTGGCATCCCCATAATCATGGATTCAGTATTTGGATGCTTGGCAACTGATTCATATTTATGACGGTTGCAGCATCCTGGGGCCATGTGATCACCTTTTCCAACCTTCATTCAAGGAAAGTCAATGGGAGAGCCAAATTCACTTAACACCAGTGTTACTAACTTAACGACTGCACTGATTCACTTAACAACTATGGTAAGAAAGGTCCTACGATGGGACAAAATTCACTTAACACCTGTCTTGCTTAACAACATAAATTTTGGGCTCAATTTTGGTCATAAGTCGAGCACTATGTGTATTTGTCCATGAGGACAATAAAGAGTAATGAATAAAACACAAAGAATAAAAAGCAACTTCTGTGGTAAGTAATATCCAACAGTTAATTTTAACCGTCCCACCCAATCTTTGCAACACAAAACAACTGCATTTGAACTTGTTACTAATAAACATTTATAGAAGTGGATTAATCTTTGAAGAGCCAGCTAGACTATTGTTTGAAAATCCTAGGAGACTTACAGAATTATACAGAATAACAGAGTTGGACGGGACCTTGTAGGTCATCTAGTCCAGGGCTTTTCAACCAGTGGTACAGGTACCACCTGTGGTACATTGGCACCTGGCAGGTGGTACGTGACCATCCTAGAAAAGTGGTAGCGGTGGAGGGGAATGAGCTGAACCGGTGGCAGCACCACACAAGCCTAAGCGAGAGATGGCTGGACCTGCAGGACTGTCAGGGCTCAGCGGAAGCGGCATTGATCCTGGCGCTTCCACTGAGCTGCTCAGCGCTCATCCTGGTACTTCTGCTGAGCCCAGAAGAAGCGCCGATCAGCTGAAAAGCGGCACTAATCCTGGTGTTTCTGCTGAGCCCAGAAGAAGCAGAGGTCAGCTAGAATGTTGCAGCATCTCCAGGGTCTTGTGATTTATATTCAGATGCTTGGCAACTGATTCATATTTATGACAGTCACAGTGTCCCAGGGTCATGTGAAGTGATCAAAACCTGCTGCAACCACCCAGCAGACGGGGGGAATAAAAACCAAACACCCCCCACCCCAACCCCGCTGCCAATCCTCCACAGAAATGCTCACAACAATGAAAACCTCAGACAGGAGGAAGAGCGCGGGCGGGCGGGCAGGCAGGTGTCTTGCTCGGCTGTGGCTTGGGGGGGCACTTTTTTCAGTGCCATTGTAACTTCTAAGAGTCACTAAGCGAACTTTTGTAAGTCAAGGACTACCTGTACTTTATCACTTTTTTCATTTTTTATTTTTTTTTGGTCAAGTTTTTGACACTTTGCTAGGCGACTGGTGGTACTCGGATGTTGCCAAGTCCTAAAAGTGGTACAATGGGTAAAAAGGTTGAAAAGCCCTGTCCTAGTCCAACCCCCTGCTCAAAGCAGGAGACACTATAGTATTTCTGACAAGTGGCTGTCCGTCTCTTCTTGGAAGCTTCCAGTGATGAAGCACCCACAACTTCTGAAGGCAAGCTGTTCCATTGGTTGATTGTTCTCACTGTGAGAAGATTTCTCCTTATTTCTAGGTTGATTTCCACTCCTGAAGAGGATTTGCTGTTATTGAATGTTAGTGTGATAACACTTTCTGACTTTAGGCATATGAATTATAATTAAATGCAGTAATAACAATAAGAGTCTTATCTAGATGCTTTAGGGAGAACAGAGTGGGAATTGGACAAATTTAGGTTATGAAAATTAATACATTCATCCTGTAGTTCTTTCATGATGTTAATTCAGCTATTCTTGGTGTTATTACATTTTCATTATTGAAAATAATGGCATATTGATATCAGCAAAATACTCTAAGGGCAGTCTTCTCAGCAAATGCCTATAGAATTCTCTTTTGGTATAACCTTAAAACATTAATATGTGAACATTCCATTTTTTTGCAGATCCTTCAAGATTATCAATGGCATGAACATTTCTCTTGCACCTTTTTTTGGCCACCTGTGGTTTGTGTAATGAGAAGAAAAACATCGACTTCTTGAGAGAAGCTATTGAAGTTTTAGTCTGTTGCTCAGTGTGATCTCAGCTAGAAAAGAACCCAATATGAATGCATCACTTCTCTCCTTCACAGGAAATAATTCTATTCAGAATGTCTCCAATGAGACTTCTGGACTCTTACATTTCCAGGACATTGACTGTCATGTGCCTTTGGCAATGGTATTCACCTTGGCCTTGGCTTATGGAATTGTTATCCTTCTTGGTATTTCTGGAAATCTGGCCTTAATGATTATAATCTTGAAGCAAAAGGAAATGCACAATGTGACCAACATTTTCATTGTCAATCTGTCCTTTTCAGACCTCCTAATAACTATCATGTGTCTTCCTTTCACATTTGTATATACTCTAATGGACCACTGGGTTTTTGGGGAAACCATGTGCAAACTTAATCCTTTTGTGCAGTGTGTCTCTGTCACAGTCTCTGTTTTTTCCTTGGTCCTCATAGCTATTGAACGCCATCAGTTGATTATCAACCCTCGGGGCTGGAGGCCTAATAACAGACATGCCTATATTGGAATTGCCACCATATGGATCCTAGCAATAGCCTCATCTTTGCCTTTCCTAGTATACCATGTTTTAACTGATGACCCTTTCACTAATATAACCATAGAGGACTACAAGGGAAAATATGTATGCTTGGATTCATTTCCATGGGAGTCAGCCAGACTGTCATACACTACTATTCTCTTGGTGATACAATATTTCGGGCCTCTTTGTTTTATATTCATTTGCTACTTAAAGGTAAGGAAGAGTTTATTTTGTCACATATCTTGCATGTTCTTTGTTTTTTATCAAAATGGCACTTCTAGGATATGGCTTAAATTGTTCTTTGTTCTTATAAAAAATGGTACCGCTAGTATATGGCTTACATTATTGTTATTGAATTCTTATTTCTCACAGATCTATATTCGCTTAAAAAGAAGATGCAACATGGTGGACAAGATGAGGGATAATAAATACCGATCCACTGAAACAAAAAGGATCAATATTATGCTGATCTCAATTGTGGTGGCATTTGCCCTGTGCTGGCTGCCACTCACCATCTTCAATACAGTCTTTGACTGGAATCATGAAATTCTCCCTGCAGCCTGCAGCCATAATTTGCTGTTTTTAATCTGTCACCTTACAGCTATGATCTCAACCTGTGTGAATCCCATCTTCTATGGATTCCTCAACAAGAACTTTCAACGGGATCTACAGATTTTCTTTCGTTTCTGCGATTTCCACACCAGAGTCGATGACTATGAAACAATAGCTATGTCTACAATGCATACAGATATCTCAAAGACTTCTTTGAAGCAAGCCAGTCCTATCACTTTTAAAAAATTTAATGACCATGCTAATGAAAAAATATAGCTGTTGTCATGACTGACATGGTTTCATGAACAAACACCAGATTTTAAAGAGATTTATTTTTCTTCCACCTACTCTGAAATGTCACTTTCATGTTCCTACTGTTGCTGTTGTTTTGATTTTTTGTTGCCTGTTTGCTATTTTTAAACGAAGAGTTCTTTCTAATGCGAAGTATATTGACACTTTCGCTGCCTGAAATTTTCATCATGAAATTTCTTTTTTTTCTATTTGTGCTTGATATATTTCTCTATCAATTTAGTACATTATTTAAAAGAGTATTCATTTTACTGGAAACACACACACACACACACACACACACACACACATATGAGAGCACAATATATGCTATTAATATTTTTCCCCATTCAATTGTGTCCAGTTATTGGAGACTGCTTAGAGAGATCCTTGCAGTTTTTATATAGAATTTTACAAAATCCAAGAGAAAAAGCTGTACAGTATTCAATAAAACCTATTTCAATTTTATTTTCATACTGAACTAGGTCAGTTTTAGTCATATATTCTAGGAGCAACATATCGAAAACATTAAAATCAGACTGTAGGAGATGACCAGGCTGAGCCCAAGGGAGGGGTCAAATGTGTCACCAGTCTCGAGTCTCTTCACACCCACAAGAGATCTAACTCCAGCCCACCTTGAATTCCATTAACTATTATCTACCGCCAATTTGCTTTGACCATTAGTAGTTCAGATTCTTGTAGAGAACTTAAGCTTGCAATAAACTTTTATATTCATTTGAACTGCCTGGATTTCCTGCTTTCTTGCACTTGACACAAACAGATGGAAATGCATTTCTTATAGGTATAAATAATTGAAAAATAAAGCATCTATGGAATTAAATAAAATATAAAACCAATTGTAAAAACAGCTTTGGCTAACACATTTTAAAGCTACTTTTTAAACACTTGTGAAGAATCACTTCTCAGTGAACTAAATAGCCCTGTTTTGCAAGTTGGCAGAAATTAAGGTAACTCATAGTCTTTCTAAATACTTATAACTCAACACTTCCATTGATAGTTGTATCTGTAAATAGAATTATGGATCAGAACAACCTATATGCTTTATCTTTGTAAAAATAGTCATCGCTATGTGTTTTTTAAGTGGCGAAAAAGTCTCCTATTTCCCTTAATATCATAGGCCCACTGAGTTTCTTTCTTTAGATTATGATAGTTATTACACTTTAAAAAAAGGAGATCCAGTTGCAGTTGTGTCTGTATCTGTGACTATGCCATAAGTGTGTGGCCTGTGCAGCCTTTGTAACCAATTTGAAAAATGTATTTTGAAGCCTGCAGGAGCAGGAATGAGGCACTTGTCTACACTATAAAGCAGCGGTTCTCAAGCTATGGGTCATGACCCCATTTGGGGTCAATCGACCATTTCACGGGGTCGCCAAGCAAGGCTGTCTGCCATTTTTTTCCCTTTTTCCGGCAGGTGCCTTACCTCCCTTGGGCTGGGCCAGCTGGTGGTCGGCCTGCTCCGTCTCTGCCCTTGCCAGCTACGCCTCGGCCGGCGCAGGGGACAGAACCATGCATGCGCGGTGCTCCCGGGCAGGGAAAGTCCTCGACTTACGACCGGTTTAGTCCTCGACTTACGACCGGTTGGGGGTTGCGGCATTAAAAAAGTTGAGAACCACTGCTATAAAGCATCTGGATCTTTTCTTAGGACTGTTAGGCTGTCTAGTGAAAATCCCCAGCATGTGCAAAAAGGTCAGGCTTCTATAGCCTGTGCAAATTCCTGGCAAGTTAAAAGGGAAAATAAAAAAAGAAAATAAATTATATTGTGTCACCTGGCTCTATAGTGATTAGTAAATCATCCTCCACCTTCTCCTCTTCATTTATGAGAAGACAGATTGATTTAGAATCAGAAACTTTATTTTGAAATATAGTAAAAGAAAGTTAAAAAAAATCCTTTTTAGCTTTAAGTAATTGCATATAAAACACATACAGAACTGTTTAAACTGACTTCTCCAATAGAATCAGTGATGGGATTCAGCCAGTTCGCACCACTTCGGCAGAACCGGTAGCTAATTTTTTGTTGCCCAGGCCCAGAATGGACTTCCAGAAGCAGCATCCAGACAGAGAACTGGTTGTTCACATATTTGAATCCCACTACTGAATAGAATCATATACAGAATAAGTTAGATGGTATTTCTGCTGCTAATACCAAAGCAGTCTGACCTAAAGATGTGACAATTTGCATAAAACTTCCAAGAACTGAGCTTACATAGAGACAATAATCAAGAGAGACTAAATTAGACTCAATACAGAGTCCCATAAAATTGTATGCAATATTCATAGCTAAACTCATTTATTTAATTTCTATGGCTTCCTATTTCAACCAAGTGATTCTGGGCTGCCTAGAGGTTTACAGTTTTTACTTATTCTTTCAGAGATAGCTATATTTCCTGAAGGAGATTTCCATCTGTCTCAGTTCTTCTTTTACTACCCCCAGGTCCCCGAGGATTTGTTATATTTCAAACTGCTTGTGTCTGTGTGTGAAAGGTACCTCATTTTTCTTTTCAGTCTTGCTTCCAAATTTCAACCTTATTTTAAAAATACAGCCCATTTTTATCTCTAGCAGAAATATAGGGTTTTCTTTGCACGCCTGACTTTGTATAGGATCATGGCATGTAGCTCATACTGAGATGGATTGAAACTCAGATACCTCTAATTGTTGAGGAGGAGGAGGAGGAGGAGGAGGAGGAGGAGGAGGAAGAAGGAATTAGCCTGCCCATTCACTATAGGATAATTTGTGTGTGTGTGTGTGTGTGTGTGTGTGTGTGTGTAATAAGTTGTTTTATCCATATTTTGAAAGAAGTAGAAGATGGTATTCTACTTCTTTCAAAATATGAATAGAAGTGAATATTCAAAATATGAATAGAAGTGGTATTCACATTTATAATCATAAGTCAGTAACATAATTGCAACTTAGTGATAATGAGAGTTCAGATTTCATGATTTATCTTGTTATAAATGTATCTGCAGCTGGCATAGTATTCATTAGGATTTCTGCTTGAAAAATAATTCAGTTACTTAGAGCTTCTGATTGTCTAACTGCAGCGATTTAGGAATCTAGATACGAGTAAGTAGAACCTGTCTCATTCACATGAAATTGAAAAACTGCTCAAGGCTGTAACTGTAGGGTTGCCAGCATCTCACAGAGCACAAAACGTTTCTGGAAGTCCAATCTGTCAGAACCTTACTAAAAACATTTCAAGTTTTCTTGATAATAATTTCTTAAGATGTGCTCATCTATCATCAGCTGTATTTGTTATTTATAATACAGTATTCTTACATTTTTATTGTGAAATCTTTATGGCTATATCTACCATAATTGTCTCCCCCCCCACACAAAAAAATCCAATCCTTTTCCCTTAATTTTTGATCACAAAGAGAACTTAAAAGCACCTTTATTGGGGAAGATGTAAAGAAAAAATGCACAGTGGGTTCCATTGCTCACATAAGTAAACTTGATTCTATTTCTAATATGGACATGGGGAATCAAGTAGCCCTCTGTAAATATGCATGCATGCATGGATATGTATATACATTCCCACTCATTATGTCATTTCTTTTCAGGGTAAATCATATTATGCAAAGGGCAGGAAAAGAATGAGAGGCAGAGAGCAAAATAAATTTAAAGCAGGAGAGAAGAGAAAAAGAAATCAAAGCTCATCATTGTGCTCATCGAAGCACAATTCACTATACCCTCTCTACCTTTGACCTTGCAAACAATGTAGTTTCCATCATATCCATATACCGTACTGATTCATACATTGCTTTTGTTCTTTGAGTGTCCACCTCCCTCTTTCTCCAACCATATTTTTTTCTCAATCTTCCCCTTCTTCTTGACACTCTTCGTTTATACATTTGTTTTCTCACCTGATAGCTTTGTGACTCTCTATGACTAAAAGAACAACCAACACAAGGCATTATTGTTATTGTTGTTATTACTATTACTTATTGCAGTAATTTATTTTTATCAATCTAATTTTTATTTATTAATCATTATTCCTGAATTTCTTATTTTAGCAAAGACATTTTTTAAATACTCCACTTCAACTTCATTGTTTCTTCTGACATGACACGTTTTTCACTTTTTATAACTAAGTTAAGAAAAGCACATAACCATTTTTGTTTTCTAGAGTTTCTTCATTGCCATATCTTGTAGCTTTTGAATAAGAATTCTTCCAAAATTGTTTCCTTATATCTATTACTTTGTCTTTCATCACAATCAAATTAATCATGTTTTAGATTAATTCATTTTCTAGGTATATGCATGCTTATTCTTAAGCTGTATAGTTGAAATATATTTTTTCAAATACAAATCGTATTTACAAATTGTAAATACAAATATAAAATTCTGTTCCATTACTGTATCTCTAAACAGTTTGATTTCTTTTTTTTTAAATACTTTCTGGTACCATCCCTCCACATATTTATGTCATCTACAGAATATTTTATCCAGATCACAATCATTCAGAATATTATACTTTTTTCTTCTTCTCAGACCTCATCCCTGTTCTTTTCATTATTCATTATTTATTGGAGTGTAACATGCAATTCTCTGCAACTTATGAATTCCTACTTTTATATATACCCACAATAGTCTATAATACATCAATTCATATTTTATGACATCTGTTTTAGCCCTTCATTAATAATTAGCCTATATCAGCCCTCTTTTATTCAGATTTATTACATCCTTCACTACACAATATTATCCATTTTCCTTTTCTCTCATTTGTTAATTGATGTTTCTTAACATTATTCTGCTTACATTCCATGTTGTCATCTTTCATATACAAAGTTGTCAACAGCTGACTCCTTGAACTTTGATTTTCACCACGTATCATGACTCTAATATATATCTGATCAAGATTTTCATTTAACACTTTTTAATAAAACTAGTTCAGTTTTACTAGTGTTATGTGAACCTGTGCTACATGAAGCTTCACTGCTAATAGTAAGAATGCAATAAAACAGTT